TGCAAATGCAAATCTTAAGATCTTACAAATTTGAATCCTTATGAAACTGAAATTTTGAGAATCAAATTTCAATGAATTCTTGCAAAACTGAAAGGTTCTTGTGAATCTGAACCTTTGATTTTTGAACTCAAATTGTGAATCTTTGAGTTCCTATTACAAATTTCATCAAATCTGATCTACGGACTCCTCTAGACATGATTGTCAAGGAGCCTTTTATTTTTCAAAGTTGTAGTGCCTATGTTTAGAGGAGCATTTTATATTTTAAAGTTGTAGTACCTTTGTTTAGAGGAGCAATTTATTTTTTCAAAAGTTGTGATGCCTCTGTTTAGAGGAACAATTTATTTTTTCAAAGTTGTAGTGCCTCTGTTTAGAGGAGCAATTTATTTTTCTAAAGTTGTGATGCCTCTGTTTAAATGAGCAATTTATTTTTTCAAAATTATGGTGCCTCTGTTTAGAGGAGCATTTTATTTTTCAAAGTTGTGGTGCCTCTATTTATAGGAACATTTTACTTTTCAAAGTTGTGCTGTCTCTGTTTAAAGGAGCATTTTATTTTCAAAAGTTGTGGTGCCTCCATTTAGAGGAGCAGTTATTTTTCTCAAAGTAGTTGAGCCTTTGTTTAGAGGAGCTTTGTTTACTTTTTTCAAAAAAAAAAGAACAAAAAAATGTGTCGAGTTGATTGAGTTGTCTACATCTTTACAAAATTCTTATTTTATAGAAAATGTACAAAGAAGGATAGTTGTAGATACCCCAATCTATCCGGGGTTCTACTCAATTTGATTTCTATTGATAAATAAATAATAAATGGAAAAAATAAAAAAATTCTAGCAGATTGAGTTTGTATAGGACTGTGTGCAAAGAGTTTGGATTGGATTTAAAGACTTAAGTTGAAAATTAAAAGGGAATCCAATTCTGTTCGATACAGGGTTTTTTGAATCAGAACCCTATAAATAGATGATCACATAGAGGACAGAAGGACACACGAACATTTACAAAAATAGAAGTTAGAAAACACAAGCAGAAAGTTGTAAAAATTTTTTTTTTGAAGATTTTTGGGTTTAGAAAATGAATGGGGTTTTTTTTTTGAAAAAATCTAGAAAATCCTAGATTTTTGAAAAATTTTTGGAAAAATCTAGTTTTTGGTGAGTTTTTCGATGCCGGTTGAATTTTTCGGTAAGTTTTTCAGCATCGATTGAATTTCCTGATAGGATTCCCAAAATCTGGTAGAAGATTCTAGTACTGGTTGAATTTTTTGACAACTGTCTGATGACCCAAATCAGATTTCGACGAAATTTCCAAAATTCGGTGAAGGATTTAGCTAGAGTTCATCCAAGTAGAAAGAGAATGAGAGAAAAAAAGGGGTAAGAGAGAGAGGGGGAAGGGAACTCTGGTGAAAAAAAGACCAACTTCAACCTTTTATACCACCATAAAATGACATTGTTTTGGGTGTTAAGAAACTCCAGATCTGTGCATTTTCCATTCGAGTGACCCAACTTAAGTGCCGGACCATTCTTCAACCCGTCCCTACTTTTGGCTCAAGCCGAGCTGAGTTATGAGCCGTGCCCCAAGTCGTGCCATTCCAGTCTCTTCTTATGTCTGTAGCTGAGCCGTCCCGAGCCACGCCAGTCGAGCCGTATTGTTTTTTTTGGTATTTTTTAGGTTTTTTTTTTAGTATTTTGTTTATTTATTTTTTTATGTGTTTATGTTTTAGTATTTTTGCATTATTAAATTTAGAAAAAAAATAAAATAAAAAATAAATTTTGAGAATAGATATTAATTATCCAATGATGGAATTTTTAAAAATTTCAAATGGTAAATTTCTATAAAATTCCTAGATGAGAAATTTTGTCCCAAATGGTGAAATAATTTAGATAAAGTTTCAATAACAATAATTAATATTTATTTTCAATACAAAAAAATAAAAAAATAAAGAAATTTTGGGTTGAAAATATTTGATAATTATCCAAGGACGAGATTCTTAGAAATTTCAAATGGTAAATTTCTAAGAAATGTCTAGGTGAGAAATTTTCTTTAAATTTGTCCCAAATGGTGGAATAAGTTAAATGAAATTTCAATAAAAATATTGTCATAGTATTTTCTTTCCAAAAAAAAAAAGAGAAATAAAAAGAATTTCTAAATAGGCCCAAATGGTAAAAAATTTAGAAATTCCAAAAAATATTTCTAATTTGTCCCAAATGGCAGAAAATTTAGAAATAAGAAAAAAGAATTAAAATAATTTTTAAATAGGTGCAAATGGTGGAAAATTTAAAAATTCAAAAAAGAAAATATTTCTAATTTGGCCAAAATGATGGAATAATTAGATATATTTTTGACAAAAAAACCCAAAAAATAAAACCAACAAAAATCTTTCCAACGATGAAGCCTCTTCAAGAAATCAAATTGGATTCTTGAATACTTTTGAGGTGAGAAAATATTTTCAAGAATTCTACCAGATTGATGGAAGAATCTTATGAATTATTTCCAATGTTTTAACTTTAAATTTTAAAACCATTACACCCAAGACTCTAGGATAAATTTAAAATAATATGGTATCATCCTTTGGATGGGCATGTGGGGGTGCTATAACCTTCCCCACATGTAATCGAACTCTCGAATCATGTTTTGGTTAGTAGCCATGAACCTATTCTTTTAGAGACCCTTCGTCAAGCTTAAGAGCTCCTTAAATGGATAAATTTCTTAGGTGGTTAATCACACCTAGATAAAAAAGATTGGTGGCGACTCCATTAATTTGTTAAGTCTAGCTATAGATTTACGAATCTATATGTTATGACAATAATGATAAAAAAATCATCATATGCCTCTTGTGCTAATACACCATATTGTTCCATGCAACACTCGATTGTTGAGCTCAATTGTCTTCTCTCTTTTGGTTAAACTATAGTTGAAAAAAATTAGGTTATTTTGAATGGTGTATTCTTTTTTTTAATGTCAAACCCCAATCCTAACATATAGTGTGATTTTGGTTCTGTGTATATGTTATGTTGAATTTAATGGGGAGATCAAGTTTTAATGATAGAGTTTTGTGATATCTCAATCCCATATCATGTTTAGATAATTTACTATGATATATAAATAGAGATTTAAACTCATATATAGAAGATTCTTTTTGTGGAAGATCATGAGACTTTTGAATTAAAGCAAATAATATCTCATAAATTTAGTACGTTTCTTCACATTTAATACATATAAATTACATAATAAGAAGAATCCAAGATTAATAAATTTGGATCTCAAATTTGATTTAGGGCCTAAGTGTCTATCGGCTACTCTAAGATGGCATTTATAGTAGACTTCATGTTTGGTGATGATCTCTTGTGAATAAAATTTTTATTGGCTACTAAGAAGAGTAAAAAAAAAATAAAAAAAGAAAAGAAAAGAAAAACAAGCGTATTTGAAAAGAGAAATGATTGTATAAAATAATTACATCACATCAATATATATTTTTTCATGCAAATCATGTCGCATAATTATATTATTGAAAAAAAATCAATTATTTTGGTGATAATCTCTTGTGAATAAAATTTTTATTGGCTACTAACAAGACTAAAAAAAGAAAAAAAAAGCAAATTTGGAAAGAGAAAGAATTCTCTTTTCTATCAAATCTTCCTTCAAAGTCTCAAGAATATGGCCAAAAAGAAAAGGAAAATTTGATGGCCAATTCACTTGTCCTGGCCGCACTAGTGTTTCAAAAATTGACTCCACCAATTAATTAAAAAATTGAACAAAGGTTTCCTTCACTATTGTTGTTGAAATTATCTTTTTGCATTCAAAATTTGCTTTTAATCTTAATATAATGTTAAACAATAAAAAAATTTTGATTTTTCAATTTAAATAATTTTCAACTCAAACCAAAAAACTCTTCCAAAAATATTTTTATGGTAAAAAAGTACTTTTGAAATAAAAATCACTTTATTATCTTTATATTTATAATATTTTATTATTTTATATATATCTTTTAAAACATTCAATCATTTACAGTATATTCACGTAACAATATCAAACACTTAAAATTTTACGCACACCTTTTAAAAATATTTTTCTCAATGCAAACATTTTTTAACCACAATAATAATATTAAATTAATGCTAATTAGATTCAATAGGCCTCTAAATTTGAATATTACAACACACCAGAAACTAGTCAATAGATTTGATAATTTAAAATATAATTCGATGACATGATATAAATTTGATACAATTAAAAAATTTAGTAATAATTATATATGAGTTTAATGAAATTAAAAAATATGTTTTATATTTTCATATTAACATGAATTATTATACGTAATTTTTATGTAAAACATGATACAAATATATAAATTTTAGTATTTTATATAATACAAGTATACAAATATTTACTAATCAAAATCGATCAATTCAATCCAAAAATTGAAAATTTCTAATAAGACATAAATTTGAAAATTTGTTACATTCAAAAGTCAATATAAAAAATTAACTTTCAAAGTGCCAACAACAGTTGAAAAGGTGTTTCAATTTACACTATTTTTGTCTTTTTTTGCTTTTCTCTTCATGCTCTTATCCATCTCCAACATGCGCTTAAAAAAAAATCATTCTCAATAATAGAAAATAAAAAAAGAATAAAGTTATATTTTTTAGATTATTAATTCGTATATTTATATTATATATATTATATTTAATAAGTATAAAATATAAAAATTATTATACCAAAATTTATGTCGATACACTGGAATGAAATATTTTTTATTTTTATCAAACTCATATATGATTTTTGTCAATTTTAAACTATATCATTTTTATTTTTTGTATCATTTTTATTTCATATCATTAAGTCATATCTAAAATTATTAAATCAATTCTTTTAAGATGAGAATAATTTATTGACATTTATCTAAGAATATTGGAAATTTTTATTCTTTTAAAGCAAACAGTTACTACAATTTTTTTACTTAATTTTTTTAGAAGACAAAATTTTATTAATACGAGAGAGTTAATACATAATAAACACCTAAGAAACTCAAGCTAACCCCATCAAGAGATGGAAGGGATGATCAACAAAACCCCAAAACAAAACGAAAAAAAATCCTAAATAAGCCAATAACCACATGACAACACAAACACAATGACAGAAAATACAAGGAAATTAGCTACAACGTCAAGCATTCAACCTCGAAACAGGTTGCCAAGCAGAAAAGATTCATAAGTTGACATATTCTATACTTATTTGTTACCCCACCTTAAGATGCAACTCTGATTTTTTTTCCTCATTCTTCAATCAAATTGGGATTGGATCAATCAACAAGGAATTGATGCTAGTTTTTACTGCTTCACCAACAAGTGTATATGCGTCTTCATCCTTATAAATAAGATCAATAACCCTTGTGAAGTTGAGAATACGATTAAAAGCCGCCACTGGCACTGCTGTTGGTTTCAAGAACTCTTCATTTATATCTTTCCAAGCATCTTCGATTTGCTTGTTCAGCTCATTGTATGCCACTTGCTCTGATACCCCATATTGTTTCATGTAGCACTCGACGGCCGAGGGAATATGGCCTCTCTCTTGCTCGAACTACAAGCACAGTATGTTCAAATAAAAATTACAATAAGCAAAATTTTTAGTTAATCTTGTACAAAAAGAATTTTTTTCTGCAATTACAATGAAATTTTTCCTATTCACAACAAATAATTATCTATTGGTTTTTTAACCAACTTTGCCATATGCCAATATAGCTCTTTTTGGCAAATTATCTTGATTTCAACTCTTTTAATGCTTGAAATTGTCAGGATTTGAATTCTGACCACTGGAATTAAGAGTCCAATACTCTACCAACAAACCAAATAATTGTTGACTGATTTCATTTCCTTAATAAAAAAAAAACTAATTAATAATGATTACCTTGTGGCTAGCAATATCATCCATTAGCCTGCAGATAATTGTTGAAGCTCTAAGAATCTTTGGGTCATTAAATGCCCAAATGAAGGTGTCTTTTGTTATGGTATCTTCCATGCCAACAAAAGATGCAATTGTAAGCATCTTATAAGCACAAGAAACTAATGCAATAGACATATACTCCTCTACAGTTGGTGTGTAATTTTCATGGAGCCATTTGGCCTCAACGTAATAGGCCTGGCACTGCTCTTTCATCTAATGAACAAAAAAAAAAATCAGCTAACACATAAAACTCATATAGTTGATGATGATTGCAAAGCATAATATTCAAGAAATATATAGATCATATATACTGCTTCTTTCGCAAGTTGAACACGGTATAATTTTCCTTGCTTCATCATCAAATCCTCCATTTCTTTATAAACATTTAGGAGTTCACTATAAAACAATTTCATGTAGTCCGGAAGTGGATCAATGCAGTTGATATCCCACCTACATATCATTCAATTCAAATGGTTATGTCTATAATTTAGTAAAATTTACTTCCAATAATTTGAAGTAAAGCTGGGTATGCTTTGAATAACCTGTGAATTGCTTTCAAAAAGATTTCAAGTTCTTCAAGTGTGCCATATGCATCATATATATCATCCAAAATTGATGTGAAGGCTGTAACTTTTGTCATGAATGTTCTAGCAAGGGAGTAATGGGGTTCAAAGTACACTCCCAATATCCACAAGTAACATTCCACCAATCTATCTCGTGCAAAAGAAAATTTTTTTTCAACATCTAAGCCTTTCCACCACCTGATCATAAGATATCTAATTAATTAGCACAACTATAGTATAAAATCAACGAGGGGAGAGCTAGGATTTTTTGGAAATAATGTCCAGGGAAAACCTATTAATTTGCATCCACCACTGAGTGCACTGGCAAAAAAGCGTTATAGACCTAAATAAAACTTGAGGACAACTTCAAATCTGGTCGTATTATAAAAAAATAGAAGAAATTATATGGTAAATATATGGCACTATTAATTACCTGTATATAACACCTATCTCCTTTTTGTGAAAGTGTTGTACCATCATGAAATCTAACTTTGCAAATTTTATTAAATTTTCATCTTCGGTGCCATATCCTTCATATATAGAAATGTAGCTTCGAGCGACCAACCTTGGTAAGCTCTTGCGAAGGAGTCGCTTAAGAGCATTGGCAACTTGTTTCGAGAGAGGATAGTCTACCATGGTTTCTACCTGTTTTAGATGAGAGGTGGTGAAAGCAAAAGCTTCTTCTAGTATATTTTCTCCATGCACTCGCAGGTGTGCAGCTTCATACAGTTCTAGCAAGCCTTTCACATCACCAATCAAAGATTCCTTGAAGTTTCCTTTCTCATCTTTCAACCTGTTAAAAGACTCTGCGCAATCACCAATTAACGGACATGTCAGCAAATTAGATCAATAAAATTTAACAGAGTCAACGATTGGACTACAATTATCAAGTCGATTTAGTAAGAGAACTTCATTTTTATGAATTATATTGGAGGGATTAAATCTCAAATTTTGTCTGTGTACAGAAATTTATGGCATAAATTGACCTTATAATTGAGATTTTTTCAGAGAAATTGATCCATTGAAGATTAAGGCATACCGCAATGAACATTAAAGCCATGCTCTCTTAGCAACCGAAATCGAACAGATATAGTGTAGAGATCATCATCATCACCCTCAATATTATTGCAATCTACATGATATATATTTTGTAAGGCAACTTCTATCTCTTTCTCAAAATGGTAAGCCACACCTAAGCGTTGGACTGTATCAATTAGGTACAATTTTTGGGATGGTTTATCCATAGTTGTGGCCAACATCCTCCTCACCTCTTGCTTCAAATCTTCATATTGTAGTTGAGTTCTAGTATCCATATCCTGTTGAAGTGTGAAAACCTTTCAATTAATTTTAAAAACTTACTATTTTACCAAAAAAAAAATTATTAAGCATCCAATTTAAAGCAATTGGTTATAGGTGATAAACTTAGAAAAAGTAATAGGTATGAGTAACAAGCAATGAACGACAGAACAAACCATAGATTATGATACTATATTAAGCATCTATCATAAAATCAGTTAATTATAAGTAGAGGGGTCTAACTTGAATTTAAGGTCACAACAAATCGAAGATTTGAAAGGGATAAGACCATTTTAACAAAAGTTCCTCAATACTGTGCATAGAAATTAGAGAGAGTATAAGTAATAAGAAAAAATGAGTAAGCAATAGAAATCATAAATAAACTCAAAAATTTTGCCAACGATAGGACAAATTAAAAGGCAGTAAATAATATTAGTCCAACCTCACCCAAATGCACAAATTGAAAGAGATTTTCATACATACCATTTCAGAAGGACAAGAGAGGAAAATGTCCCCCCAAAAGTGAGGATTAAACTTGGCCAAATGGCGATTTTCATTGGACATGTTATCACCATGAGTTGAAACAGAATTTGCAAAAATTTGAGAGGACATTTATTTGGGAGATTTGGTTTATAACCTTTTGATATGCTATAGCTCTTGGAGTTTTGTTTGATCCAAATGTTTTTGAGTTGAATGTATTTATAGGCATTCAATTGATATATATCAAGTCCAATACACACAATAGTGTTGTTGAATAGCATTATCCCACACCAATCTTGAGTTTCACGTGCCATTGTGTTCAATTTTGAGTTGTTTTTCATCTATTGCATATTGATTTTAGATGAAATTCCTAATCTACAGGAGAAAGAGTGTTGAATTTTATTATCACATATTGTTTAAATCTTAATTTTTCTTGTAATTTTAGATTCCAGTTAGATTTTTTTTTATTTATTCACTATTGTCAATTGATTCTAAATTAAATAATTAATTTTAATTATATCATTTTTAAAAATGATAAAAAATTAAATTTAGAATTTAACTTAATTGATTAATGCAATATTTTTTAAAAACTCCGGCAAATTGCACTAATAATTTAATTGCAAGTAATGCTTTGCTTTTGTTGATCTTAATTATTATATTATATTATAGATGTAGCGAGGACAAATATGATTTCTCTCCTTTTTTTTTTTTTTTTTTCTAGTGTTTACTGTTAAAATAATGAAATAATTTATGCTTTTCTGATGCAATTATAACTTTTATTGATTTCTAATTTTAGTACCCAATACAACTATTTACGGATTTAGATGCTTTTCACATGCAATTGTAACTTTCATTGAATTCTATTATTTTAGTACCCAATACAACTATTTATGGATTTGGAATTTTTTATTTTTTATTTTTATTTTTATAATCTCTTTGATTCTATCTTTTAGCAAGCAATTAACATATGGATATGAAAATCTTAAGAATTCATGTACCAAAAAAACTCTTAAGAATTCCTACACATGATTTCTACTTTTTTTTAGCAAGGACTTAACATTTGATTTAATCACTTAAATCTCTTAATTCGATTTACTAATCCAACCTAATTAACATGAATAAAAATGTCAATTTGAACTTATAGCTTAATCTAAATGGTCATCCACTTCCCTCAAATAGTTGATCAAGATTACCAAAGTTTGGTTTTGATTCTCGATACTTGTAATTTCCCTTTCCTTTGTATTTCTACTAGACTTCAATTTTCTTTATAAAAATTTGTCAATTTTAGAAGTCATGGGAGGCTTTTATAAATAAGTTTGTAAGTATATAATTCTTGTTTTTGGTATCAAGATATCTAACTTAGGCCTAGTTTAGTATTGATATTGAAAGTAGTTTTTTTTTGTGTTTAAAAGCTGTTTTTGAGCCGATCTCAATGGTAAACAATAAAAAAAATATGGCTTTTAAGTTTAAAATTTTGGTTTTACAACTCAAATCAAAAAGCTACTTAAGAGGAATTTTTGCAGTAAAAAAAAAAAACTTTTGAGATAGAAAATCACTATATTACCTTATATTTCTAATATTTTATTGTTTTATGTATATTTTTTAGACATTTTAATTATTCACAACACATTTTCACAGCAATACTAAACAATTTAAATTTTTAACCATACTTTTCTTATCACACTTTTTAAATGCACTTTTTTCAACTCAAACGTTTTATAATTGTAACAACAATGCTAAACTCACCCTCAATAAATAAGGATGGTACCCATTAAAATTTAAAAATAAGTAACTTAACAAATAATGCTAATCCCCTTCATAAAAATTCAAGATAGATTGTTTCAACCCTCATCTTAAACCATAAAGAGGAGATTTTAACTAGTATTAATCTCCACCAAACAAATCTATTTGATTTTTCTTTTTCTTTTTATTTGTTCAGTTATAGTTCTTTTAAAAGTGATAGGCTACTTTAAGATGGCATACATAGTCCTCTTGATGTTTCTTCTTTGGGTGATAGTCTTTTGTGAATAAAATTTTTGTTGGCTACCAAGAAGAGTAAAAAAGACCAAATGAAAAAAGAAAAGAAAAGAAAAACAGACACATTTGAAAAGAGAAATGATTGTATAAAATAATTATGTCACATCAACATATATTTTTTCATACAAATCATATTGTATAATTATATTATTGAAAAAATCAATTATTTATTTTAAAATAATTAATTAATTTATTAAAATAAATATTTATCATTTAATTATTACATATAATATGTACTAAATGATTTTTTTAATAATATAATTACGTGACATGATTTTTGAATGAAAAAAATATTAATGTGACATTATTGTTTTATATAATCTTTTCTACCTTTGAAAATACCTAGATGAGAATTATAAGAACAATTGAACAAATACCCTGGAAATCAGGAGACCCCAGTCCAATCAGCTGGTGACTTTTGAACATGATGACACAGCAGCAGCGCATAATTAACACATTCAATTTGAATTGTAAACCCTACCACTCTATCTATGTGCATTTGTTCAATGCTAGGAATTGATATTTCAAACCCCAACTCTTTTTTTTTTTAACTCATCATTAATATATGTCTGGAGGGCTCTATTTCTATTTTTTCTTAAATGATAACAGATTTTTAAAGTTTTATCCAGCACATTCCCTCTCCAAATCAATTAAAAAAGAGTTCTATTTTTAATTGAAGTGAATATCTTCTTTTATATATTTATTGTGCATACTATTTTGTAATACATGGCATTGTTGTTGAATACATTTTTTTTTTTATGTACATATTAAAAAGAAAACGGGGGAATATAAAAATTAAAATAGAATAAAGATAATGCATTCAAAAATTAAAAAGAGATTTTGGCTGCGGAATTCTTATTTCAATTAAATCTTCCTTCAAAGTCTCAAGAATGAGGCCAAAAAGAAAGGCAAATTTGATGGCCAATTCACATTTTTTTAATTGTTGTTGAAATTATAAAGTGTCATAATTTAAAATTTTAATAATAAGTTTAATAAAATTAAAAATATATATTTTACATTTTTATGATGATACAAATTGTAACATATAATTTTTATATAAAATATAATATAAATATATAAATTTCAATATTTTATACAATAAAAATACACAAATCATTAAATCTATTAATCAAAATCCATCAATTCAATCCAAAAATTAAAATTTTTTAATAAGATAAGGCATTTGAGTGATTTTAGTTGGATACAAAGGAAAAAAAAATAGTTTTTACTAGGAGAGACAAACAAAAGTAGAGCTCTAAAATTTAAGCTATTCAATTTTAAAAATATCCAGGGCCTGGTGGTCTGTTAAGACCAAATTTTCAATTTCGGATCAATTTAACTAGATGTGATGTCTTATTTAATTAATAAAAATATTAAAATATTATTATAAAAATAAAATTTTTAACATTTTTAACAATGTTGGATTTACTAAAGTTTAACTTAATTGCATCTTGAATAAAATTTTCAAAAGATCAATCAATTCTAAAGAAATAGGATAAGCAACGTCATGTATTATATGTTGTAATTTTTTAATTCTAAAAACGAATTCAAAGGATTAATTTCATTCCTAATCATCATTGTATTTTCGTCCTGAATACATATTCCATATGGGGATAAGACCGGGAGGCAAAATTTCAAACATTGTAAGACTTTTGGTTCATGGCCTCACCTTTTGAGTTTCAATTAAACCATGAAACACATATCTTATCCTTTTAATTTGTTTATTCAAAATTTATAACTTTGAAAAATCAATATAAAAAATTAACTTTCAAAATGCCAACAGTTGAAAAAGTGTATCAATTTACATGGATTTTGTCTTTTATTGCTTTCCTTTCCATGCTCTTATCCAACTCCAACAGGCACTTTAAAAAAAATCATTTTGAATAGTAGAATTTTTTTAAAATTTATTTGTTTTTAGATTTAACAATTCATGTAATTATATCATATTTTTTTTGTAATAAACATGTAAAAAAAAAAATTATTGTGTTAAAATTTATATTGATACACCAAACGTTAAATATATATTTTTTATTTTTGTCATATTTATATACTATTTTTGTCAATTTAAACCGTATCATTTAAAAAAATTTTCTTTTTTTTTGTTATTTTTATTTCATATCATTATTCATGTCTAAAATTATCATATCTATTTTTTTAAGATGGGTATAATTTATTCGCATTTATATAAGAATATTGGCAATCTTTATTCTTTTAAAGCCAACAATCACTAGATTTATTTTACTTTATTTTTTTAAAAGACAAAGTTTTATTAATAAGAAAGGGATAATATATAATAAACACCTATAAAACTCAAGGTAACCCATCAAGAGATTGACGGGAGGATTAACAAAACCCCAAAACAAAACAAAAAAAATCCAATAACCACATGACCACGAACACAAAGAATTAAGAGGAAATTAACTACAGCTTTAAGCATTCAACCTGGAAACAGGTTGATAAGCAGAAAATATTCATTTGTTTACATATTTTATACTTATTTGTTACCCTTTCTTAAGATGCAGCTCTGATTTTTCTTTTCATTCTTTAATCAGATTGGGATTGGATCAATCAACAAGGAATTGATGGTGGTTTTTGCCTCTCCACCACCATGTGTATACGTGTCTTTGTCCTTGTAAAAGAGATCAATAACCCTTGTGAGGTTGAGAATACGATTGAGAGCTGCCACTGGCACTGCTGTTGGTTTCAAGAACTCTTCATTTATATCCATCCAAGCATCTTTGATTTGCTTGTTCAACTCATTGTATGCCACTTGCTCTAATACCCCATATTGTTTCATGTAGCACTCGACGGCCGAGGGAACATGCCCTCTCTCTTGCTCGAACTACAAGCACAGATTTTTTGAATAAAAATTACAATAAACAAAATTTTAAGCTAATCTTGTAAAAAAGAATATTTTTTCCGTAATTACAATGAAAAATTTCCTATTTATAATAAATAATTAAAAGAATCGATAAGTTTTTCTAGTGGTTTTTTATCCAACTTGGCCATAGCCCTTTGTGGCAAATTATCTTGATTTCAACTTTTTTGGTACTTGAGATTTTCAAGATTTGAATCCGGATCGCTAGACAGTATACCAACAAATCATATAATTGTTAGCTGAATTCAATTTTTTAACAGACGAACTAATTAATGATTACCTTGTGGCTAACAATATCATCCATTA